CTTTTGATCTTCTCTTTTGTGACTCTTTTCGTTAGATGGATCTTCCTCTGCCGCTTCTATCGGAAGGTCAGTAGGACACAGGGGGGCTTGGAGCATTGATCACAAACCTCCTGGTCCACGCGCTTCCGCTTGACGGAGTCTTGAGTATATTGCGACCCTGGGGCGGCTTTGTGGTTGGCTTGGATCTTGAAGTACTTCTTCTTTTCGGGGTCTATTGAGCCGTCAATGGACGTTGCACGGGAGAAAGATCATAAACGTCGTCATTTACCATAGTAGAACCCCGGAATCTCCCTATTCATTTTTTCTGATGGGAAGGCGATCAGAAAGACAGGGGGCGCGTATTGAATATGGAGGGGTGCGTCTCAAGGTTGACGCATTCTACTGTGTAGGTTTGAAGTCGAGAGCGTTGGTGCAGATCACTTGACCTTCGTGCTCATAGTGCGCAATATGCTAGAAGAGCATAGCGCCCGCCTTCGTCACCAGCAAAAAAGGGGACTGCCTCACTTCTCCAGCTGTCGAGTAGACTGGGTGGGTATTATTCAGGGTCAGGAACCGGAGTCGATCAGGGATGCGCGCGACTTGGGGGGAGAAATTCCCCAAGTGCCATGAAACCGACATGACGTCGGGTATCTGCTTATGTCATCGCTCCCGGTCTCGTTGGCGGGGAAGTCCCAAGTCCTTTGTATAGTAAGTAATTCTTAGTTCTTCATCTCTCACTATTCCCCTGTTCCAATGGAAGTCCTCGAATGGGTGCTTTACTATTTAGCTGATCGGCTCACATTGTTGATTCCACAATAATCGGGTGGGCCAATTCCAGCAAACCATTTAGATCGCTCCTCCGGATCCTGCGATATATATCCCACCCTCATGTTGACATACTCATTTTTGGTCAATCCTTTACCAACGTACTGTATTTTTGAGAGAAACATTAGAGTTGTAATTGGTGAGTGCCTTTGGCTTACTTCTACTATCTATCTATGCGCGGGCCAGCCTGGTATCTAACGGTGTAGTACCGTCAGCATGATTTTCTGCGTCTCTATAGCTCCTTCCTCTCCTGTATATCAACGATGGCCTTCCTTCCTCAGAGATTCAAATCCACATGCGGCATCTTTTCCCGATGTTTCCTCCAATCGAATTGTGACTGCTGCACCCTCAGTTTCCTTTCTACCCTGCGCTTCTCTTTCCTCCATTCTGGGGGGCACTATATGCTACACTCATATAGAATAGGATCTCCCTTGTATCCATCTTTATAGTGCTTCATCCTTCTCATACGAGATCGAGCTCCTCTCTGGACCCAGCAAGGGTTCCTTCCAGAACTGCGATGCCTAACAATCACCCCAATGGCTTGAATTCCGAGCACGCCTATGTCGAAAAGAGGTCGGGAGAGGTAAAATCAGTATCGGACATCCAAGATGACGAAGGTGAAGAGAAAGATATTGATACCCTCATTGAGGAGCTGGAGTCCTTGGATGGCTATGCCGAATTAAACATCCAGGAGAGCCACCAAACTGGCCGACTCCGCCCTGTCCCGGATGACTTACTTCAGACGGATTTTCATACAGGACTTAGTGCTAATGAAGTGGTAATCCGGCGCAGGAAGTTTGGCTCCAATGAGATGAAAGAGGCGAAGGAAAACCTCGTGCTAAAGTTCGTATGGTTCTTTGTCGGTCCCGTCCAGTTTGTCATGGAGGTATGTATCTCACAAGCCCCTCGTCGTGGTACTTTCTCGCTAATGTGTACCCTCATAGGCAGCTGCTATCCTAGCTGCTTATCTCAGAGACTGGGTAGATTTGGGAGTTATATGTGGTCTTCTTCTGCTCAATGCATCCGTGGGCTTTGTCCAGGAATTCCAGGCTGGGTCAATCGTGAAGGAACTGAAGAAAACATTGGCACTCAAGGCAGTCGTGCTGCGTGACAGTGTAATGGTTGACATTGACGCAGCTGAACTGGTCCCGGGGGATATAGTGAAGATTGATGAGGTACCATCCGACTGCATAGTCAAAGTGGCTGCAATGATTCTAATAGTATACAGGGCACTATAATTCCCGCAGATGGTCGAGTAATGACCAGTGCAGCTATCCAGGTGGATCAGTCTTCTATTACAGGCGAGTCTCTGGCAGTCGATAAGCACAAAGGGGACACATGCTATGCATCATCTACTGTGAAGCGAGGCTGTGCCCGAATCCTCATCACAGCAACTGGCAATTGCACATCTGTAGGACATGCTGCAGCATTGGTCAATGCCGCGTCGGCCGGCACCGGCCACTTCACCGAAGTGCTTCATGGGATCAGCATCGTTCTGCTTGTTCTTGTCATTATCACCTTGATCATCGTCTGGGTTTCATCATTCTACCGTTCAAACAATACCACAACCATTCTCGAATTTACGTTGGCTATCACCATGATAGGTGTTCCGGTGGGCCTTCCTGCCGTTGTCACCACCACGATGGCAGTTGGTGCAGCGTATTTGGCAAAGAAAAGAGCGATTGTTCAAAAGCTTTCCGCCATTGAATCGCTCGCTGGAGTCGAGATACTTTGTTCGGACAAGACTGGCACATTGACTAAGAATAAACTATCTTTGACAGATCCTTATACGGTGGCTGGCGTCGATCCTGAGGATCTGATGCTAACAGCATGCTTAGCTGCTTCTCGAAAGAAAAAGGGCATGGATGCAATCGACAAAGCATTCTTCAAAGCATTGTCTTATTACCCGACCGCCAAATCACTGCTCACTCAATTCAAAGTGCTTCAGTTCTCTCCATTCGATCCCGTCTCCAAGAAGGTCACGGCAGTAGTACAGTCTCCCCAGGGCCAACGTATCACCTGTGTCAAGGGCTCCCCATTGTTTGTACTAAAAACAGTTCAGCAGGACCATCAGATACCGGATGATATTGAACAGGCATACAAGAACAAAGTGGCTGAATTTGCAACTCGGGGATTCCGCTCGCTTGGGGTGGCTCGAAAGTGCGGTGATGGCGAGTGGGAGATACTGGGCATAATGCCATGCTCAGATCCTCCGCGACATGATACCGCTAAAACTATCAGTGAAGCCCAGACTTTGGGACTGTCAATTAAGATGCTGACAGGAGATGCAGTAGGGATTGCTCGCGAGACTTCGCGTCAATTGGGACTGGGCACAAATGTGTACAATGCCGAACGCCTTGGTCTCGGTGGAGGAGGAACAATGCCTGGCTCTGAAGTCTATGACTTTGTTGAAGCTGCTGATGGGTTTGCAGAGGTTTTCCCTGAGCATAAATACAACGTTGTGGACATCTTACAACAGCGCGGATACTTGGTTGCAATGACTGGGGATGGCGTCAACGATGCTCCGTCACTCAAGAAAGCCGATACTGGGATTGCAGTGGAAGGCTCCTCGGATGCTGCGCGGTCAGCAGCCGACATTGTATTTCTTGCTCCCGGGTTGTCCGCGATCATCGATGCCTTGAAGACCTCGCGTCAGATCTTCCACCGCATGTACGCTTACGTCGTATATCGGATTGCTCTATCGCTGCATCTGGAAATATTTCTGGGATTTTGGATCGCCACTAGGAACGAAAGCCTCAATCTACAGCTTGTGGTGTTCATTGCCATCTTTGCTGATATCGCGACGTTGGCAATCGCCTACGACAATGCCCCATTCTCCTCCACGCCCGTGAAATGGAACCTTCCCAAATTATGGGGGATGTCCATTCTTCTTGGAATTGTATTAGCCGTGGGGACGTGGGTCACACTTACCACAATACTAACTGCTGGAGAAAATGGGGGCATAATGCAAGACTACGGGAAGCGAGATGAAGTCTTATTCCTCGAGATTTCCCTGACAGAAAATTGGCTCATCTTCATAACACGTTCCGATGGCGCTTTTTGGGCATCAACATGGCCATCCTGGAAACTGATAGGAGCCATTGCAGCCGTGGATCTCGTGGCGACCTGCTTCTGCTTATTCGGTTGGTTTGTCGGTGAGCCTACCTCGGGTCCTACAGTCCTCCGGATCTACGTTTTCTCGTTCGGGGTATTCTGCATAATGGGCGGCATCTATCATCTGCTGCATGGCTCCAAGAGCTTTGACAATATCATGCATGGGAAGAGCCCCAGAAGTAATGACAAGCAACGCTCCTTGGAAGATTTCTGTGAGAGAATCCGGCCATGTTCTTGTCTACACAATTGGGCTGACTTATTCGCAGTGGTTGCATTACAACGAGTATCTTCGCAACATGAGAAAAGCTCTTTGACTAGTATGGAGAACGGGCAGGCGACCCGTGGTGTTTAGTGGCAGCCTGTATAAGGGATCTTCACTCTGCTTGAACGTCTATTTCATTAAGAAGGACCATGATCAGCAGTCATACATATTCTCATGGCCTCCATCGATCAACGCGCCTGGTAGAAGGCTTATCTTCTAGTTCTACATTGTTTGTTAGTGAATAGAACTACTCCTTTCTTGATACTTGATCTCGGAACTGTTCTCCCACGGGAATATAAGCGAAGGTAGATCGCGAACAATGAAGTCATGACCACTCTAGTAGGCCCATATGGCATACTTGAGTACCCCTCATGTTTGTCCAGGTTAGAACTGTCTTGATGGACTGATTGTACAAGAGCTCCAGCGATAGCTTGACTAAGCTAATCCTGACATATCCTATATATGACATGACAATCTGTTCGTTAACCGGGAGTTTAATAAGACGAGGACCACTAGCAGTAGAAAGGGAAGGGGCAAGAGTATCAGGTGACCCCCATACATATATACATACATACATACATACATACGGTAATCAACCCGTTCAAAAGAAACGAACAGTTTTGTCCCAAAGTTTCTGGTGACTGTACGCCGTACAATATTCTACATCGGTGACAGCTGGTAGACTAGACAGACCCACAGGTGGGAAGGAAGCTTGGACCAAACCTAAAATATTCTCCGCGATCAAACATGTTTGCATGAGAATCTTAAGTGGTTTGAGTATAAGAGCCTAGGGTCGATCAGTGACTGAGTATTTGAGTTAGGCATTACTGAAGTGAATTATGCAATAGTTAGAGACCATGGAAATATAAGGTACATGTTTCTCGATGCCTGCCTATACAGATATTCGTCCACGGCCACTCTCCCTAACGATTGGCCGTCCGTTCCTGGTTAGTCCGTTATCCTCCTGCACTTCGTTCTCGTTCATAACTAATCCAATAGGTAGTCCTATATTACACGGGGCGATAATGATGTAGGTAGGTCATAATAGGGGTTGGCTTGATGTGGAGTGCACACCACTGAAAGAAGAGGGATATACATTGCAGCAATAACGACATGCAAGCTGGATCACACATGATTCAAGGAAAGTAAAAAAGGAGGCATGAAGTGGGAGAGATTAGTGAGAAAAGGAAACATTTAGAGCGAGTGAAGGGCTAATGAGAGAGTAAATATGTGCACTGGTAAAAAAAAGAGGATATGGATGCAGATTAAGACTTCGAAGCCAGATGGTCTATGGCCTATAAGAACAGTTAGCTTATGCATCCCTTGTAAGGTTTGGGTGACAACGTACCTTGTCAATGTTGTAATCAAACTTCTCGAGAGCATCAAGGGATTCTTCTCTGGGAAAGCCCATGCCAGTCAACCGCTGGAGGATCTGGTCGTCTTCAGTGCCTGTCTGAAGAGCCCAGCCGGGTTCCTTGCTGCTTTCTGCACTGCCAGCCCCGTTGGTCCCGCTGGCTGCAGCAGTGGCGTTGTCAAGAGGAGCAAACAATGCCTCCCAATCGTGCGTCTGTGCTTTTGCGTTGGGCTCGGCGGGCGATACGGCAGAGCCGGGGGGCGAGGAGCTTGTATTCTTGTCAAAGCTGAAAAACTCCGAGGAGGCAGTATCTGCTCCTGGGTTGGGTGATATCTTCTGCGTTGATGGACTGTCGAAAGAGAAATCGAAATCCATGTTATTTTTCGCATTATCGGGGGCTTCAAAATCATCCTCGTCATCTTCGGCCTCCTTCGCCGGCGCAAGGTTCAGGCCTGCGAAAGCAGCCTCAAAGTCGGAAGCACCCGCTTTGGCTCCCACGGGAGCAGCCTGGGTTTCCTTCAACCCATCGTGCTGTGCCTCCCCACCCACTATTGGCGCCCCTGTGCTTGACTCCACTGAGTGGGGAGCATCTGGGGCAGTTGTCGGATCTTCGCGATTCGGCAAGAGTCCATTGAACTCGGGTGGCATACTTCCTGGCTCATGCTTTCCCACGGTCTCCTCATAGTTGGGGGGGCTCGACTGCGACTCTGCTGCAGGGGGACTTGGGGTGGTTGCGGTGCCGGGAGTTGGGAACGCCGCCAGCTGAGACGGCTCAATAGAATCGGGTTTGGGCGCTGCGGCGACTTGGCTCTGTGGAGGAAAGACGGGGGTGAAGTTGTCGTCGAAGCCCATCGGCGCTTCGCTATCGGAGCTGTCATCACCATCGTCAAGTTCGCGGATTGGCGGGAACTCTGACACGGGAACGGCCGGTGCTCCGTTCGTCTTGCTCGCTCCAGGGCCCTGCTTCAAAACAGCAAAGGCCTCTTCAAAATCGTTTTCCTTTTGCGACTTGGATCGCTTATGTGCAGGCCCGCCGAACAACTCATCGAAGCTGAGGTCCTTCTTTTCGGCAGGCTTCTCATCTCCAGTAGGCGGTACAGTATCGTCCGCACGTTGTTCAGTGATGGCCGGGACTTCGGGGAAACGCTCTTTGGGCTCCTCTACTTCATCGAACGGAGAGGTTGCAGGCTGTGCAAACGAAGGGCCCGCCGCTTCACTGGCCGCTGTTTGCGAGGCACTTCCTAGACTGGGCGTATCTTGGCCACCAAACCTGCTTCCTGGCGGAGAGACCATTGTCGAAGAGGTCGCCGAATGGGACTCGCCAAAGGGCAACACACCTGGTGTCAATTGTCTAGACTGCGCCGGAGCCGGGGGTTCCAGCGCAGACCCGGGAGTAAATGGGGGAGGCGATACTGAAGGAGTAGGCACTCCAGAAGTTGGCTGAGATTCGGCCCGGAAAGACACTGGAGGCGGTGGTGTAGCAGCTACTGGTGGCGTCGCAAAGGCAGGACCAAAGAGGCTATCAAAGGCGCGCTGCTGATCGCCTGTGATCTGTGGTGACAGTCCAGTGGTTTCACTAGAACCAGTAGCCGTCCGCTTAAAGAACGGGTTAGTGTTTTGACTTGTCGTCGATTCAGCTGGGCTCGTAATGGCGGCAGCATCACTCGGGGCGGCGGCGCTTTCCTCGGGGGCTCCGGATTGCTCCTTGGCGAGAGTATCAATCTCAAGCTGGATCTTGTCACGCTCTCCATCCACAGTTGCAAGTTGCTTCTTGTTAATTGCTACCAACCCTTTCTGTTGGCGCGCCTCTGAACGTGCCTTGTCTAGTGCAGGCTTGAGCTGAGCAACCGCAGCGTTGGCTTGTCGGATCTTCTCCTTCAGGCTCGCATTTTCCTGCTGGTCAGCACTGAGAGCAGCTGACACTTGATTGTACTGATTTTGTAAATCCTGCCGGCTTCCCTCGATCAATGCAAATTCTTGCTGAAGTTTGTTAGTTTCAGCTCTCGAAGCATTGAGTCGCTCTTCAAGGGCCTTGAAGTTCTTCACTTCCTGCTCATACATCGAGCGAGCTTGAGCGAGACGAGCCTCAAAGTCCCTCTTTTGCTGTGAGGTTTGAGACAGACCGTGCTCGGCAGATGCTCGCTTAGTCTGAACGTTCTGCATCTCAGTTGCCAACGATCCAATCTGATTAGACAGATTGGCAAGCTCCGTGGTCTCTTGCGTCAATTTCTTCGACTCTTCGGGGTCGTTGTCTCCCAGAAGATCATCCGATGGGGGCGGGGGTGACCGGACGGTCGGCGGGACCCCAGACGAAGCGCCAGTCATCTGTGGCTGCAAGCTCTGTCCAAAGGTGGAAGTTGGCACAAAGGGCTTGAATGTTGTTGAAGGAGCTTGCGGGGACGCCCTGGATCCCGGAGAACCAGGGGTCTGGAAGGCGGCGTTGGAGCCTCCCGTGGATTGTGGAATCTGGGAAGGAGCAGCCGGCAGCGCCGGTGCCGGTGCCGGCGCGGAGAGCGCATCCAGGCCAAACAGATCATCGACCGCCGATCGTGGAACAGGAGCCGGGGCGGGTGCTGGCGCTGGCGCTGGAACTGGGGCTGGCGCTGGCGCTTGGATGGGAGCAGGAGCTGCTGGACCAAAATGCGAAGATCCAGGGCGGCGCATGCTAGGAGGAATCAGGGCAGGAGGCAATGCCTGGGGCAGCGATTCCTTTCCGCTGCGTGTGAGGCGGACAAGATACATGGCCACGGCGAATTCATCCTTTGTCAACATTCCATCGGCATCTATATCCGCAAGATCCCAGATCTGGGCGAGTGTCTCCTCGGGCAACTGTGCACCCATGAAGAATGAAACAGCCTGATCACCACTGATTAATCCCGTCCTGGCTGTGTCAACAGTTGCAAAGATATTGTCGAACATGACCTTCTCTTGAGGCGAGACAAGCCAGTCGCCGCCAGTTGACTGGGCGGAAAGAGGGGATCCGAATGGTTGCCTACTGATCGGACTCTGAGTGCGCTGGGGGCCCGTGAATTGCTTCGGAATTGCAGGTACTGGAGGAACCTCAAGACCCTGACGCGAGCCCACAGACGAGCGGATAGAGCCTCTGCGTGCCGCAGCATCATACAGACCGGGTGGCAGCGTCTGAGGGAGTCCCCTCATCGCGCCCGACTTGTAGGACGTCAGGAGATGCATGGCAACGACGAATTCAGTCGCATCAAGAGCACCCTGTTGTCTCCTGTCCGCCAGGTTCCAGATTCGACCGAGGATCTCGTTTGGTAACCGCGCACGCTCGAAAATCTGCTTGGCTGTCTCACCTGTCATAACAATGTGATTAGTTACAGGGTCCACATCTTATCGACCTCGGGGCTGACAGGAGGGGTGCACGTACCTGGAAGTACCCCGCTTTTGGACACATCCGATTTCTCGAACAGCGACAGGAACTTGTTCACGTCGTCGGGATTCAGTGGAGGAACTCGGATAGGCGCACCTGCACCCGGTGTAGGGCTGGTGGTGCCCGCTTCACGCGGAGCTGGGGTAGCATCGACCACGAGACCATCGAACTTCGGCAACGGTCCAGCTAAAACAGGGACCATCGTTAGCATATATTTGACGTCCCAATTGCTCGATCGGAACCAAGGGCATCCTTTATTAACTCACGTTGAAAGGCCAGTTCCTCGGTCGGCGCGCGACCTGCTTGGGCGTGTCCAATCAGCCGCATGACGACACCAAACCCAGACGGGGTCAATAGACCCCGATTCTCCCTATCTGCGATCTGCCATATCTATATCAAGCGCCATTATCCGGTTAGCCATTCTATCCTGGGAGCGATTGCGGGAGAGGGGGTCTCCCGTCGTAGGCACCGACTTACCAAGCCGAGGGTTTCCGGGGCTAGCTGGGTCTTCTCGAAGAAAGGAACAGCAATCTCGCCTGTGATGACGCCGAGGTTGGTGGTATCGGCGGCCTGGAAGAGTTGATAGAAAACCCGTTTCTCATCAGGGGTCAGGTTGAGGCCGGGGTTGCGAGCTGCTTGGGAAGAAAGAGACCATCCGTCAGTTCCGCTGCACCATCGTCATATCGACTGGTTGGGCCGTTGTCCCCTGAGAGCTCGGGCGGGTGCCATTGTCCAGCCAGGGCAGGCAAACTCACCGTTGTCAGCCATAATTATAGCTCAGGAGGAGCTGGCCTCCCTTCAGTAGAAACACTGTGCACCAAATAGTTGATCGAAAATCCGATGGGGGGGAGCGAAGCAACAGAAGGCCGTCAACTTAGGTGGAAGACAGCACGGGCATGGATGACCAAGGCGGCAACAGCTCTTCTGAGGGGGAGCGAGAAAATGGGGGGGGAGGGGGGCAAGGTATCACAGAAAGCCACCAGGAGGAGAGGTATGACCCCAAACAGAGGGAATGGGAAGGACCGACAGCTCAAGAATGAGGGCGGGTCGGGGAATAGTAATCAAGAAATAAATTAGGGAGAAGGGGGGGAACTTGCGACCAGCAGTAAGTAGCTAGAGCGAGCCGAGCAGAGCTGAGCAGGCAGAGGGGGGAGAGACTCCGACGGACGGCACTGGCACGTCGCTTGGGGTCCGCCCGGGGGCTTTCCTGCGGCTGCTGCTGCCCGGGCGGGCGGTCAGCCACTCCGGCACCGACGTCAGTTGGTTACCTACCACCGTTGCCAACTGGCCAGCCAGACCCCCGGTGCATCTCCTATCTGTCGGCTCCAACTTCCATGACGGGACCAGGTTGCATCCAACTTGCATGCAACCCATCGAGAAGAATCCGACAAGATGCGAGTCGGCTAACGCAGCCACCTTCGTGGAGGTGGCGCAAATCCAGGGTCTGCCGGTCCCTACCCTACAAATTAGAGCACGAACCACACAGAACAACAGCCATGCTTCCAACGTGACTTTCGCAGCTACGGGACCATTTTAACAAATGCAATCAGAAAACACCTTCGGTTGGAACTGGCAAAACTTTAAATTACAATCTCTTAGGCGCCAAACTGCTGCATGTGTTCGAACGAGCGGGTAAATTCATCGCTGCTTCAGGGATATTAGAAATATACTCAGACAAAAAGAAAACATAGTCTGTACTACGGAGCCAAGCTTCTCCTTCCTATTTGCATGCAGCCAGAGTCCCGCAGCTCGTATGGTATAACCTTGGCCAACGCCTGTCCCCAACAGAATAACTCGGAAACGATCAGGACCAGCCACGGCATCCACGCGGACGGCCCTGCCGGACCCCGCGCCGGACTCCGGCCGAGAACACGGTCAGATCTAGTACTCGGCCTCAACCTCATCCTCCAGGGAGTCGCTGGCAACCTCCTCGTAATCGCGCTCGAGGGCAGCGAGATCCTCACGGGCCTCGGAGAATTCACCTTCCTCCATACCCTCACCAACGTACCAGTGGACGAAAGCACGCTTGGAGTACATGAGGTCGAACTTGTGGTCGAGAGCGGACCAGGCCTCGGAGATGGCAGTAGTGTTGGACAGCATGCAGCTAGAACGGGGTTAGCTTCTTGTTCTCAGGGCATATCATGTTATGGGAACTTACACAGCGCGCTTGAGCTCGGCGAGGTCGCCGTTGGGCACCTGCTGGGGAGGCTGGTAGCAGATACCAATCTTGAAACCAGTAGGGCACCAGTCGACGAACTGGATGGTGCGCTTGGTCTTGAGGGTAGCCACGGCGGCGTGGGTCTCCTTGGGGACGACATCACCACGGTAGAGCAGGCAAGTGGCCATGTACTTGCCGTTGCGGGGGTCACACTTGACCATCTGGTTGTTGGGCTCGAAGCAGGACATGGTGATCTCGCTAACAGAGTTGGACTCGTGGGAGGCCTTGGCCGCGGAGATGACGGGGGCGTAGGCAACGAGAGGGAAGTGGATACGAGGGTAGGGGACCAGGTTGGTCTGGAACTCGTTGAGATCGACGTTCAGGGAACCATCGAAACGGAGAGAAGCGGTGATGGACGAGACAACCTGGGCGATCAGGCGGTTCAGGTTCTCATAGCTGGGGCGCTCAATGCCGAGGTTGCGGCGGCAGATGTCGTAGATGGCCTCGTTGTCGACCATGAAACTGCAGTCGGAGTGCTCGAGGGTTGTGTGGGTAGTCAAGATGGAGTTGTAGGGCTCAACAACGGAGGTGGCGTTCTGGGGAGCAGGGTAGACGCAGAACTCCAGCTTGGACTTCTTGCCGTAGTCGACGGAGAGACGCTCCATCAGAAGGGCACCGAAACCAGAACCGGTACCACCACCGAAGGAGTGGAAGACAAGGAAACCCTGGAGACCAGCGCAGTTGTCGGCAACACGGCGGACCTTGTCGAGGACCTGGTCGATCATCTCCTTTCCAACGGTGTAGTGACCACGGGCATAGTTGTTCGAGGCATCCTCCTTGCCAGTGATCATGTTCTCGGGGTGGAAAAGACTGCGGTAGGTACCGGTGCGGACCTCATCGACGACATTGGGCTCCAAATCCGCGTAGATGGTGCGAGGAACATACTTGCCCTGACCTAGACCACCATTGCCGGTTAGGGGTTGCGGGGGAAAGGAGAAGCGGGATGTCAGGGAAGCGGTGGCAACATACCAGTCTCGGAGAAGAAGGTGCTGAAGCCGTGGTCGGGGTCATCCTTCTTGCGCTCCTCGGTCAAGTAACCATCGGCCTATCATCAGAGAGAAAGATCAGTGGGATTGATCACGGATGATGAAAGGAAACGCTTCAAGATGGCGTGGTCAGGAGCTTCATTGCACATACCTGGATACCGTGCTCGAGGCAGTAAAGCTACATAACGCGGTCAGTCCACCTCTTCTCACGATTTATGCCATGCAGTATGGTGTCTCTGCAGATTGGTCCGGGAAAAGAGGGGTTATGTCCCCGGTTGTAAGCATACCTCCCAGCAAGAGTTGGCGATTTGGCAACCAGCCTGACCAACTGTGAGGGAGAAAGGCAAACATTAGTGACCACGCGAAAACTCAACCGGGCAGGGGAGGCATTGGGCACACACCGTTCAAACTAATAACTTCTCTCATTTTGGCGAGTTGAATGGATGGGTTTCAGATACGGATAGATGGTGAGGGACACGGAGTGGGTGTGGAATGTGGACAGAGGGAAAAATTAAAATACCCAAGGTCGATCTGTACGGGGGTTTCAGGGGTAAAGTTAGTAACCTAACGGGCCACCACGACACAGGGCACGAAAGGGGGTAGGATAGGGAGAGAGGACCTTTGAGTGAGGAAGGGGAGGTGGGATCGAGGGAAGAGAACAGGTGGGAAATTGGGAAAACGGGGGGGGGAGGACACGAACCCTGGGGAACTGGTGGTTAGTGACAATGGAGGAGCAGGTCAAGAATCGGTCGACTCGATTTGTTGTGGTCTTTCATGCGCTGTCAACCCAACGCAGCCGCCGTAGTTGATCCGTCCGTTGGGTCGCGTTAGGCTGGCTGGGCGCTGATTGGCTGTTGCCCCCCGGCGACCACCTGGCGGTCAATAGCTGAGTCAGCGAGATGGCCGCCTCGGGTCCGGGTCACGTGCAGGGAGTGACGGCATGACGAAAGATCCCCGAACAACATCCGGATGATCTCAGATCGCCAGCAGGTTCAGATGCGCCGCTTGCCAATTGGGAGGCCCCTGCTGCATAATCCTTTCTCTTCTTCACTCGAGCACCTCTTGCACTTATAGGTTTTATTGCCCTCCCAATATCCACCCCCTACCAAACCGGACAGCAATAACATTCAACCCCGACACAGATCTAGATCTCCAGCACCGAGCTCCAAGTAAATCCTACCATCCCCATACCTCTCCCATGATATCAACCTCTCTAACATCTCCCAGACTTCATCCAGATTCCCCACCTTTCCACATCGAACAATGACCATATAAAACCGACATCTGCCCTTTCACACAACCCCCAACCGCTAACCACCCCAACAACCAACAATGCCTTTCCCTCTTCCCCGCCCCCTCCATCTCTCCTCCCTCCCTTACCTCCTCCTCATCCTCCTCCTAACAACCTTCACCACCGCCAACGTCGAAAAAACCATCTTCCTCGCCCCTCCCCCAATAACAATCCCCACCCCTCACCCCCCAATCGACGACCTCGGCCTCGCACGTCTCTCCCCTTCGCACCCCATCCTCCGCACCTACCTCAACGCCTCCTTCCCAACTTCCTCCTCCCCGGGTACTGAATCCTGGTTCTTTCTCCAAAACCTTCACCCCGGCCGACGCTACGAAGTGCGTCTCTGCTGGCTAGCAACTGTACGTTCCCTCCCTTCCCCCATCTCCCAATGCAATCAATCTAACTAGCCACCCACTCACAGCAACCAACATCCTTCACCCTCGCAACTCACACGCTCACACACACCCTCTCCGACCCCGCCCTCCTCTCCTCATTAACGAATTACTCCTCCTCGCGCCTTACCACCACCACCACAAACCCTGATCTCGATATTGATATCAACACCGCCGAGAAACCTCTCGACAACGGACCCATCTCCGATTCAGTTCTGTTCCTGAGGATCCGGGCCGCGGCGGATTACTTCTCCACGGATGCAGAACTGATGCGGACGGTGCCGCCCGTGGCGGTGGATGTAATTCTCGATCCGTTTCTGGGGAATGTGTTTCCGAGGTCGTTGGTGCCGACAGCGTGTTATGGGGTGATTGTGGCCGGAGTGGCGGTTTTGGTAGGAAAGTGGGTGGTTGGGGAGTTGGGGAGGGTGGTGGATGATATGGCTGTTGAGGGGGAGAAGGAAGGGGAGAGAGATGGGGATGGGGAGGGAGATAGGGAGGAAAAGAAGATGCAGTGATGCGATACTAGGATATTGGGTAATGTATGATTTATGGAAGGTATCACTTATAGACATGGCACATATGTATTAATATATTCCATCAAATTCGATTCAAGGACAATTAAGATAGCGCAATTTTTCATACATACACATGGCTTTCATTACATGGCGCTGCGTCTATTATTATCGTCTTCGTATGAGCACATGCGAACAAGAAAGACAAACATAAACCCCAGAAAGACCGCTCCTCAACCAAACAATAGGGGGAATATCTAATGCGAACAATCCCAAAACGAGACATCTAGCGAATCCAACCTTCTCCGGAGCACAAACAGCGCGTTTGTTCCTACATCATTCAATCCGTAATGCATTATGCAGAGCCGTGGCGATTAATCTTCAAAGAAATGGAGCACCGCTCGCATGCCCTTGGTGCCCAGGCCGTGTGGCGGATAGGCAATGTAGAGCGGGTCGTCCTGCGCTCCGAGCTTAGCCCGGAACTCGCTCTTGCGCACCAGGTGGAACTGCTTGGCCATCGTGTCATAGGTATGCTGCAGCATCTTCACCCGAGCGCCGCGCAGGTTGTGGCCGGGTGTCAGAGACGACATGGCACCTGCCCCGAAGGTGAAGGACTTGACGCCGGCGGCGGCGGCCGTCTGGATCGCGTGCGTGACGATGTGCTCGATGACGCCGTTGGGCGAGCCTGGGAAGTCAAAGCTGTACTTGATCTGCATGCCATGGACGGGGGCGAGGGTGACCAGGGCAACGAAGGCACAGATGGTGCCCTCCTTGTCAACGGCGTAGAAGTACCAGCGGTGCTCGGGGTCGCGCCAGGGGTGGATTTCCGACAGGTGCACCTGGGTGCCCTTGCGGTTGTTCAACCAGTCCTGGATGCGCTTGTCAATCTTCTCACGAATCTCGTCGGAGACCATTTCGCCCTTGTTCACGCTCACGAGCTTGACGCCCTCGCTTTCCGCATGCCGGATCTTGCGGGAGATCTCGCCATCCGAGGCCGCCATGTTGCGGGCCGGGTCCACACGCTCCTCCGCGATGCAGGACAACGTCCGCCAGCCAAGTCTCTCGCCCAGGATGGTCTCCACTTCGGCAGAACACAGAAGCCAGACTGGCTTGTACTTGGTCTCGCGCCGCAGCCACTGCAGGAACTGTGTGATCACCTGGCGGTACTGGCGGGGATCACACAAGGGGTTTCCCGGGACGATCACGTAGTTGCTGCTGCTAGGCACATAGGAGATGGCGGCACCCGTGCCCATATCGCGCCAGATCTTGAAGCGCTCATCGCCCCAGGAGGTGGAGGTGGCATCACCATAATTGGCAATCAGGTGCTCGAGCGGCTGCAGCTGACTGGCATCCTGCGCGAGGTTGCCCTTCTTGTCCCGCACCCACGGCGGTTCAATGGTGGATGACTCGGGGTGCCGTAGCTGCGCGGTCACTGGCTTGGCTGGGAAGCTCCGGGGGTCGCGAGGGAAGAGCGATGCCAAGCGGATGTTGCCCAGTTTAAGGAGCAGCATCAGCAGACGCTCGAGGCCAACACCCGCACCGGCATGTGGTGGCGCGCCCCAGCGGAAGCCCTCCATGTACTCCTCCATGGTTTCTGGGTTGATGCCTACCCGGCGCATGTTCTCCTCCAACATATGAGGGTCGTGGATACGTTGTCCACCGGAGACGATCTCCTGTCCACGAACGAAGATATCGAACGAGTTGGTGAACCGGTCGTCATCGGGATCGGGCATGGTGTAGAAGGGGCGTGCACTGGTGGGGAACTTGTCCAGAATGTAGTAGTCGGTTCCGTACTGCTCCTTGACCAGCTCACCCAGGCGGATCTCATCGCGGGTGTGAAGATCCTCATCATCAGGCAGCAGATTACCTTCCTCGTCCCGCCAGCCGGAGTCGTTCAGCATCTTGATGCCATCCGAGAAGCGGATGATGGGAGTTTTCTCCAACCACACGACATCGTCCGAGGGGAATTGATGCTTGACAGTATCCACCTCGCGGCGGTAGCGGCGATAAACCCCTTCCAGGATAGACTTGATGACGGTATCCAGCACATCCAGCATTTCATGGTAGTGCTCCTCGATGGCCATCTCGATATCCAACCCGGTGTACTCGGTCAAATGACGGTGGGTGTTGGAGTTCTCCGCGCGGAACACGGCTCCGATTTCATAGACCCGGCCGAAATCGGCGGCGATGGCCATCTGCTTGGCTAGTTGAGGGCTCTGAGCTAGGAAAGCATCCCGACCGAAGTACTGGACGTGGAACACACTGGCACCGGACTCGGTGGCGGACCCTTGCAGCTTGGGCGTATGGATCTCAATGAAACCTTGCTCATCGAGGGCGAACCGGAAGAGGTTGCTGATACCGGATTGGATGCGGAAGATGGACTGGGAGGTTGGGGTGCGCAAATCGAGCAGACGGTTGATCAGTCGGGTACGATCAGGGATGCGACTGCGGCGGCCCTCGATGCGCTCCTCCTCAGGCGTCTGGATCTCCGCTTCATAGATACTAAAAGGAACGGGCTCCTCGCGACGCACAACCAGATGGAGCTCATCAATGGAGACCTCGACATCGTGGATGGTGCAACCCAGGACGGGCACCTGAGGCTGCCGGATGGTGCCCCGCACACGAACAATGGAGCCCAACCGCAGATGTTCGGCCCAATGGATCATAGCAATTGACTTGACGCCCTGCTCCTCGTGCAGGACGCCCTGGAAGGTAAATAGCTGTTGGCGAAAGACCAGGAAGACCAGCTTAGAGCTCATGCGACGGATGATATGTAGACGAGCCGTGAAGCAGACCTGTTTGCCCACCAAGGCCTCGGAGATCTCGTCTAGTTTCGTGCGAGCCTCGCGTGGCCGTGTACGAGATTGTAGAAGCGGCAACTCACCGTAGCGAGCCTTCATCTCAGCAGTCTCCTCGCGGGAGGCGTTGGCGACATCCTCCTTGTGACGCACATCCGAGTCCTCGGAGTGGCGCTCTTCGCTGAGCCGGGAATGCTCCTTGCGCTGTTTGCGCGCCATGCGCTTTTGCTGATTCTTGCTCATGGTACCCGGAGAGGACGAGTCATCCGAGACGTCATCCGAGGAAGAGACATAGTCGCGATCGCGCAGAAACCCGCTGAGGATACTGCGACGGGGGGACATGGACGTGGCCGAGTTTGGGGCGGAATTGCTCGAGTCATCATCGAAGGTCCTGGAGGGCTTGATTTTGGAGAGAGCACGCTTGATAGACATGATGAGGGGCGGTGAATGGGGGGGGGGGGTAAACAGTGATAAGCAGGATGAGGGCGAAAGAAGAGGGTAGAGGGGAGAGGTGCACGGTCAGCGCTTAAATAGGGACCGGACTGAAGAGTTTAACGCTATCAAGGTTTGGGGAGCTGACCAGGGACTGACAAACCGAGGACAGGCCAGAACGTGAAGGAAGCGCCGAGCAAAGCACCGAGACCGAGGATGCAGAGGAACGGATACGAGCGAGGGAAATAAAGGCGCCGTGCCATCCATGGGCGGTGATGTCATGGCGGCCGATGATGCAAAGAAGCCTTTTTCGCGGCATTCCTCAAGCAGGGTCCAGTGGGGCATAATTTGAACAGGGGCTGGAAGACTGAGTGAGAAGCACTGTTGTAACGATGATGTGGTCCAAGACTGGGCCGAACTACTAGAACCAGCAGGATTCTCCTTGTTCTCGATAACCATTGTGAGTCTGTCTTCTGTTTCTCTGTTTCCTCCATTTGTTTCGACGGATTCCCTCCCGGCTTGGCTTTCTTGTGCTTCTCGGCAGGTCACTTCCGTGCCAGCAACTCCATCCATCCGTCCATCCTACAGTAGTAGATTAGCTGCATCCCCACTATCTATCTAGTCAACTGATCGTTCCTCTCTTCTCTTGTCAGCCCATTCATTCATTGATTCTTCCCTCCCTTGATACTACCGGTCTCATTTGTTGCCGACTTCCCGAGAGCCTCTCTTTCCCTCCCTTCCTCTTCGCTCTTTCTCTCTACACTACACTCCTCTCTCACTGCATGGCCACTTCATCATGGCGTCCTCACGTTGGTGGCTTTTTGTCCAAGCCATTTTCTGGCGCTTCCTAATGCGTATTGGCATGTTCATTCACGACATCACTCCTCCGCGACCTCCGCGACCGTCCTTTGTCCGATCCATCCCTGCCGACTCCGGCCAAATCCACCTGTACTTCTACACGCCACCCGACTACACCACCAGTCGCAAAGAGGGTCGTCGTTTGCCCGTGGTGGTCAACTTCCATGGCGGAGGCTTCACCCTAGGCTGCCCGACCGACGATAGTCGCTGGGCGAAGTGTGTGCTCGGGGAGGTCGGCGCCGTCGTCGTCAGCGTCGGGTACCGTCGCGCCCCGGAACACCCGTTTCCCGCCGCCGTCGACGATGGCGTCCGAGCTTTGCAGTATCTGGCTGCTCACGCTGTCGATCTGGGTCTAGACGTCTCCCGCATCTCCATCTCTGGCTTCTCCGCCGGCGGCAACCTCGCCATCACCGTTCCCCTCCGCCTGCGCACCCTTATCAATGAGCAGCGCGACCGGTACCGCGACCGTAACAGTCCCCCCAGCTATTCGGGCCCCTACGACTCCACCCAGGAGCTTGTGTCGGCTGCCTCGACCAGCGATCTCAATATCGTCTCCATATTCTGCTGGTACCCCATCCTCGACTTTGAGGAGTCGCGCGACCACCGGCGCGCCATGAGTCTCATGCCCAGTAAGACCCTCCCAGCCTTCTTCACCAACCTCTTCGACGAATCCTATCTGCCGGAGCGCGAGGAGCGTGTCTCACCCTATGCGTCACCTGTACACGCCACGGATGAGGTCCTCGCCGACGCCCTTCCGCACGATATCTTCTTCTATATCTGTGAATGGGATATGCTTCTCAAGGAGGGCCAAGTATTTGTGCGTCGTCTGCAGAACATCAACAAACATGTGCGCGCCATGATGATCGAAAAGGAGCCCCATGCGTGGGATAAATCGCCCAATCCGTTCCGAGACCAGGACAAGGTCGATATCCTATACCGCGATGCGTGCGCCGACATGAAGCATATCTTCAACGCGTAGATCTCCCGCTTTTCCCCACCCTCCCTCCCAGTGAACACCAATACCAGAAAGTCTCTACTTCCTGATATGGATGATACACACTGTTTCTTGTATATTCTTATCCCTTGTCTGTACAATTCCCCCCTACATTCCCCCCGCCCCCCACTGACACAGTAAACTCGGGCTATCGGCGTTGACAGCGGTTTTCATTATTATCATCTCATACATCTTTAATGTAAAGTAGACGACAATCATTGATAGAGATGCACGAAGCGATCGATCTTTCTTTCTTCGAACCTGGTTTTCATTCTAATCTCGATTCCTATCTATAAAACACATAAATATTAGCCGATGATCATTACACAAGTCCATGCACACCCACGTGCCCCACCTGCACACCCATTGCATTAGCGGTAGGTAGTAGTAAGTAACACCAGCAGCAGTGTAACCAGCTAGCTAGCTAGTTTTCATGTATCCAGCGTGAACGGAAAGGGGAGAAGGAAATCAAGGTTCGTATTGCCTATGTGGAAGGAGTAGACCTAGGTACGTAGGAAGGAGAGAATCGAATACCGAGAGAAAGCTACTAAACCCTCTAATTCTTGTAGCTTAATGCTTTTAAAGGGCTTAGCCAAGCACTTCTTAAAAGGTTTAAAGAATTTATAAAGAACTCTGCTACACATTTATATACCCCACACTTGTTTTAGACTTGCAGCCTGAATCTATGTAAAGATCTGGTAGTTCAGACTTATAGTTGGAATGCATATCGTGAGAGGGTCCTTGCCCTCTATTCTCCTAGATGTCCTCCGCTTACTCGATCAAAGCAGTGAGTACTGGTAATGAGATCATACAAGAAGGCTCTGGGATTATGAACTTTTCTTGTTAGGACCTAGCCTAATAATAAGATAGTATATATAGTGAAATGTTCCATTCTCTACCCCGCAGATCCATCCTACTTATCATCCATCATTATGAACAATATCTGCATGCGAAGCCAACGGAACAATAACCCATACCAGAAACAACCTGCGTGGTATGGTATCAAACAGGGGACAACAAAGGCATGTATGCATGCATGTATATTGTGAAATCAAATCAGTCAATCTCCATACGCCTCGCTAAGTAATTTGCAAACAGACAACAAAATGGTGGCTAGAGATCCTCAAGATGAACTTTTTTTTCCCGGGGAAATATGTGGCCTGCGGCACGCAGGGAGATGGGGAAATTGCAAACAGATTGGGTATTGAGCTCGCCAATAGCACGAGAGAAACAGAGAAGCACTTTTTTGGTAACTTTTTGTCGGTCTTGACTCGTCAAAATTCGTCATCCGTTTCAGTCCCGTCACTGAGTTCTTCATCGGACTCGTCCCCGTCCGCATCGCTGTCTGAGTCATCACCCCCGTCGAGACCCGGGATGCCGCGCCAGTGGACGTAGTCGCTTTCCACCCAGCGTCGACTGCGAGGGAGCTGATAGGGATCAAACGGGAAGTAAGCGTCAAGCTGATACCCGAGATCATCACCGGCGCGAATCTCGCGTTCGACTTGGCTGAAGCGCGGATCGGCCATAGCACCGATGCTGCGGAACGAGGACATGCGCAGTCGCTTGTTGGTCTCCAGGATGCTGAACACGTACATCAGGTTGAAGTGCTGCGACATCCGCGCGAACTGCGACACGATCGCAGGCGAGCACACCTTCAAAGGGTTCAGCTTGGAGTGGATGGCCTGGTGAAGCACTTCTTTGACCGAGGGCGGGAATATGATGTCCTCCGGCTCCAGCTCGTCCACTTGCTCGGGGGTGTCACCCTCAAGCGCAGCGGTGGTCAGGTCTCGCCAGCGGAAGCAGAAAATGTAGAGCAGTGCCTGAGCGGTAGAATAGAATGGGCCGTAGCGGCGAAGGTCGGGGCCCCGGCAGGTAGCCTCATAATCCAGACGGAGGCTGTTGAGATACGTGCCCAGCAGGTCGAACACATCCCGGACAACCTCGCCAGAGATATGAGCACCGCGAGCAACGAAACTGGCCAGGTAGGCCGCGGCTGATTGGCGCATAATAGCCGGCTGCGCCTTGTTGAAGATGAGCTCCGTGCACATCGCGGCGAAGCGGTCCACAAGGATAGGGGATGATTGAGAGAAGTGGAAGAGGAGAAACTGGGAATGACGCGAGCGGTACGTTGGGAGGATGATGTTTTGGAAGTGGCTCAGCAGGAGGTCGAAGGCGTTCTCCTTGTCGTCTAAGGAGCCCGACGTGAATGGAGGCGCATAGTATTCGAACATAGTGTCGATCATGCCATCCAGCTTGAGGATGTTATCGCGAACAATCTTGATCCTCTTGGATTCGCTATCTATCGAGTCATCGCTTAGGACGGAGTCGTTGTCATCGTCGTCCTCGGAATCATCCTCCTCGATCATGACCGATTCCGGAGAGACACCCTGCAGGACATCCTCGCCCACTTCCTCCTCGATGTCCTCCAGGTCCACCTGAATATGGACGTCAATCTTGACCAGCTTTTCCGTAATCACAGCAAGGATATCACCTTGAAGCTCCGGTGCATAGCTGATGACTCGGATGAGGTTCCGCGTATACGCAATGTTGGCCTTGGCCGAGTCGGAAGCAAAAGGAAATTGTCCAGACAGGAGGGGCGACAGCGTTCCACTACCAGACGGAATCAACTGCATCACATGGCGCAGGGCCATGTGCACCCGGGCGTAGAGCTCAGGCACATGGACATGCGGGTAGCCAGGCACCTTGCCCGTGTCCTTGGGGAGCTCTCCCAAATAATTGACCAGCATTCGGAGCACAGACCCCAGATAGCTTCCCTGGGCGGCAGCAAGGTTACCGAGAAAGCGTATATACAACTTGATGTACGACTCGTCCCGGCCCAGCCATACGCTATTCAGCACGGCATGGACCAGTCCGTTGCAACTGCGATCCAAGGACGCAACGTTTGACAAAAGACCCAGGAGATGATGTCTCAAGGACGTGTGTGTAGGTACATCGTAGGCAAACATGTTGTCCTCATCCCGACGCCGCGGGTCCACCGCAAATATCTCCTTGATGCGGTCGTACGCCTCGCTGTCGGTGCCCGACACATGCCGTTGGATGGCTCGGCGCACCTCCTCGCGGACGACGGCTGCGCTCTTCTCTGGCTTCCGCTCTTGTTGTGTCTCCTCTTGATATGGTACCATGAAGACCTCTTCGTCGAACTTCACCCGCGTCCGCTTCCGGGGACTTGGGCTGGTTTCCACGTCGGACGAGGACGACGGGGACAGGGATAGATCACTGTAGTCGTCCCCCATGATCATCCTGTGTTTAATCCCGGTCGAGGATGGTGTGCTCTTAGGCGTTTTTAAAATGGACACAGGTGATGATGTAACTAGCATCTTGGAAGGATTGGTCGGGCGTGGTGCGAACGTTGCGGTGCGGGAGGCGGTGGCAAGGACGCCCATGACAGGATCGGCGCTTCTATAATGAAATGGCGGGGGATTGCTTGAGACTGGACCGCAACTCCAATCATGAGTTGCACTCTCGCAGGGTCGCAAGCAAGGAGTGGGATTAAAGAATCAAAACAGATCACGAAGCAGAGAGCACACGACACGGCCAGTGCGAGTCGGAGAGATCCACCTCCTGTTGCTACAGATGACAAGCGCGCTTGGGAGCAAAGAAGGCGGGGGATACCTTCATCGGACCGTCCAACACACACACACACACTAAACTGTTGCGATGCACAAGTGCGTGAGTAGGAAACAGACCAGCAGCTGAAGGGAAGCGCGTCTGGAGTAAGAACTAAGAAGAAAGCAAACGAAGCGGAGAAACCAACTCAACGTGAAATTTTTTGGGTGTGGGGCGGCTGTGGAGCCTGAGGCTGCCAGCTCGTGACCACCGCGTGACCACCGCGCAACAGCCTTACCCGATCGGGTCATACGATTATTCAAGACCAGAGGACGACCTATATGCATGTGATGTAGAAATAATGATCTATAGAACCAGCTCTATGAGCTGGAACTATTGACAGCAGCCCCAGCAGTGTCTTCGCATTCATAACGACGCTAAGGCAGAAGAATACAGATCCGACGAACTCGTTAGACATGTCAGACCATCACATATCCCGTTCAGAAAAAGGAATACTTCGGTCCCCACAGCTTGGAATCACATTGCAGCAATCAGCAAAAGAAAAAAAAGGTGAGATGATAGATCAAGATCCTCCCGTGGTATCTAGCTAACCCAAAAGAAAACAAACAACTAATTAGATCACAAGACATTAAAGAGTGAATATGAGTGGGTCATGGTGCAAATCAAATCCTGATGAGGGGAAGGGAGTATCCAGTCCCAGTCCAGAGCCCTCCAGGCAAAATCCTCAGCAATAAGTGTTTATAAAGAAAGAGAGAAGTGAAAGGGAGCCTGGCTCATAGCCAAGCTCCAGAACCTATCGAACCCAGATAGTCATCAAAGATGCTACCGTAGAGGTCCTCGATCTCCACGAGATAGTCATCGGCGGTAAATTTCATCAATCCCTTGTCCCGCAGGATCAGCTCTTCATCGTCTAGTATACGAGCACCACCAAACTCCTCCACAACCTCGTTCACCTGCTCCAATTCTTTGCTGAAGGGATGGGGTTCCGCCTTGTAGCTATCATGCACCGGACGGGAGCTAGAGGTGCTGCGCAAAGAGTTCAACGGAGGCGGAGATAGCCGCGACAAGGAACGCTGGCGGGCAAGCTCTTGATGGGTCCGTTTCGTGTGGGAGAGGGCCCGCTTGGGGACTAACGGTGCCTCCGTGGACGAGGCTGTCGACGTCGATGAGCGGGGGTGACTCGTAATGGTCGCAGATCGCTTGGGGAAATACGAAGGCAGAGGATTGGGCTCAATTGGAGATTCATCGGGAGTAGTAAGCGGCGAGGTAAAACTGCGTTGCGTGAAAGACAGCTCCGAGTCATCCGGTGATTGCAGTGATGAGGTGGAAGATGAGGTTGCCGAGTGAATGTCGGGAGCATTGTAGGCCAGCATATTCGTTGTCGACAACAGTTCCACTGGGGCCGAGATCTTGTCTCGGTTGATCGGGCCGGAGAACTTGTGTGCTTCACGGTACGGCATCGGGGCCGAAACCTCGGGACGCTTGTTGCGCTTCGTAAAAGCTCTCGCCAAACTCATGGTGATGACAGGCGGATGATTCTGGTATAGTCGAGGAGGTGGTTGATGGGAAGTGCTGGCTGCAGACTAGCCGGTCGGGCCTCCAGATATATCTCCGGGTATGCAGGATGCAGGATTTGGTCGGTAGTCGTACAATGACTATTGTCGTTTTCCTATTTTTAGGGTCCAGAGTCGCCTTCTCGTTTGCAAATGTATGACGCTTCTTGCGGTATAGGGAAAGAATGCTGGTGGACGATCGCGGGGTGGAGCAAAGAAGGAATGGAAGATCGATCACCGGAATGTCCGTTATCAGATACAGTTGACGACCTGTCAAACGCAGTTGTTCCAGCAGGAGTCAAGGTCTAAATGAACGCAGAACTTCCTCTAGATAAGTAGTTCTTTTTTCTTGCACAGCAGAAAAGTGAATAAGGCGGAGGGAGGAGGGGTGGTCCTCGGAAAATGGGGGTGGGTTGCCGGACTCAAGGGGGGAAGAGATACTGCAGCACCGCCAATATTGTACAGTGAAGATCAGGGCGGACAACCAGGACGCGCCACGGGGAGAGGAAAGAATAAAATAAAGGGTAGGGATAAGTAAGTATGAAGGAAGGCAAGAATCCAGGATACACAGATCGAGGACCGAAGAATGGAAAGATCAAAAAGGAATGGTGCAGGAATAAGCGGAATCCCCCAGGGAGGACTTGGGGAAGGAAAAGAGGAGGGAGTGAAGGAATGAGAAGAGGGGGGGGGAAGAAGGAAAAGAAGGACGAGAGGCGAGTGGATGATGAATGAGGTGGATGGAACCACTCCCGCCGTGATTCTGGGCCTCGCCGGGGACTCGACCACAGGCGTCGGATACCCCCTCTTTCTCTCAGTAAAAAACCAGAAAGCTAAAAAGCCTAAACAACCGACCCAGTCAGTGCAGCTGCTGGACCGCCCACACCCTTGGATGTGGTCCTGAATCGCGCTTCGTCGTCGCCAGGGTCTCTTGTCGACCAGTTGGGATCCAGAACCCCGTCGGTCAGATTGAGTGTGGTGGACAAAACTTTGCTTTCATTTCTCCAACGGTTCGCCTGGCGCCTTCGTAGTGCGGGCTTTTTAGTACACGCTGGTCGAGAACCACGGATGGCGTATCTACCTAGGTACCTACACACACAAACAACACTGGCTATCTGCATGGTTAGTCCTCCGGTGCTCCGACGGGCAGGCAGTCAGGTGCGGCTAGTCATGCATTGCCATTTGATGGAGGGACGGACAAGTCTCGACCTCCCCCAGTCATTTGCTACGTCGGGTGGCCACGCCGTACAACTAACCACAGGGATCCATCATCCAGGGAGCCGACCGGAGCAGCTCAGAGCGCGTGTAGATATCACTAGTCATATTCAGGAGTGATTCACAGGGGGAAAAATCCTTTCCACCCTAGATAGCTACTATGTACTTAGCATGGCTCCTCCTGGGCCCCTGGCACCTGCGTACCTGAACCCGCGATGGAATGGACATCCCTCGACTCCGTATGGCGGGATGGAAATCGACAATTAATGAATCAAAAACTCAGACAGATAGAAGAAACGGACCGGCTAAGCCTAAGCGGGCGTGGTCAAACGGACGCACCACCGAGGCTACCTCAGGCTTCCTCCGGCTAAGCCAACTGCGGGCAAGTCGGCTTCCGACTGGTGTCGGGCTGGCGCCAGGAACGGCAACGCGGCGGCCACTGGAAACCGCCATGTGCCCTGAGCGGTGGGGATGAAACAATTTGCCGTCTCAGCTGGAGGATGCGGTCGTGATGGATCATGGATCCATGGTGCATGACGTCGCGCATGCTTAATGAAAGGGGTGTCCTCCCGGAGTCTTTGGAGCAGGTCTGCAGGACCTGGAACTCGTACCTACATACATCACGTCTAGGTCCTGCCTACATACCTGCTTATGTAGGTACCGCCTGTCGGATGGAATTCGGGATCCGTTCCATGAGGGTTCTTTCCCCCCTCCTCCCGGCACAATGGAGTTTAGTTGTACGTACCAACTACCACCACCGACACAGAGGGCGGGCGGGTCGTCGACCGAAGTTTCCCCACCAGTGGGTCAACTTAATAATTGGGTGGTCGCTCCCAGTTGACCTGTGCTTTGGGCGGATATATTTTTCCACGGTCCACCCATACTTGCGACGGAGATGCGCGAGAACCCTGTAAGGTCCTACTTGTTTCTTCCGGAGACAGGGGTTATACGCAGGATACGAAGCATCTACCGAGAATCCCGTAACTCTGGTACATCCTGCCTGGTTCAGGTTGTCCTGAGTGAACGTATGTACTTCTAGCAATGCATGATGCATCTTGGGTCCACGTCCCGAGTCATTACCCATGTCTCTCTACTTCGGGCCTTGCATATGAGATACTGTGTAGTGATAGTATATATCCATCACCGG